ACGGGACGGTCAGTGTAGGGAAGTCTGGCCCACGTTTCTCCACTGCGGACTTTGTGATGATCAGACTCCTGCTGCCTCTGTGGAGACCACTGCACCACCATGAACAGAGGCACAACAGAGCTGTTGTCCAGCAGGCTCCAGGACAGAGACACACAGGTGCTGTTGATAACCAACACGCGGAACGAACGCACACAGCGGCCTATAGACGAGAAAGAACAGAGAGAGGAACAGTCAGTGCAACACACTCAGGGCTCTATATACACATGCTCAACACATAACCAGGGACCCAAAATAAAGTTTTCTTGTGTAGCAATGAGTAGATGTAAGTATTTATTAACGTATGCTTTTAGTTGCTTTAACACAGGGCACAAGAGGTCACTGAGTGGTTGACTAAATATGAAAATGATGTGAATCATTTGCAATGTCTGCTTATGCCAACGTCAGCTGTTTGGCTGCTAATAAAACTGAAAACACATTTTGTTTTCATACTAATGAGACAGTGTCTAACAAACAAATGACAAAAACTGGCCATATTCATGGAAAACTATTTATATTGTGCCAGTTAGTGATTTAGCCTTCTCTGAATTATGAGTAATAGGAGAGAGACACAGACATTTCTATACATTAGGCTACACAGAGGACGGTCATTAGAAAAATTTGCCTTGTTACCTGTGTTGGCTGCTAATAGGATTTACTACAGTAAAGCTAATGGCTGCAGGGCCTGAGTCAGGGCTTTTATGTGATCCCCAGAGACACACATTTTTTCAAGTGTAATGCTTAAATGGATGGCTGTGACTGTCGCCAGCTTTGACGTACGTGTTTCTGTCATGTATTGTAAGGCACAGCAGATGTAAACTGGTCATGGTGGCAAATTTAAAGACAAGAAAGATCTGTTGAAAAGCTAAAAACAGCTCTAATGCATGAGAAGATCTCAGCTTAACAACCTGAAAAATAGTAGCCAAAGTCATGTCTAATAAATACCTAAGAGGAAATGAAACACAACAAAAACAGTTGGTTCACTTTATTAGTGCTGCCAACTTTCACATAGTTTGGAAAGAAAGAAATGTGATTACTGGAAACTCTCAGTGAGTGCGTGTTTTTCAGTAGTTTCTAACCACCTTATTGTTTTTCTACTACACATGCACCTGCGTCTGTGAATGTAAACAGTGACCACAAGCCTGTGTTGATGTACCGATGAAAGTCTGAGTCATTGATTTTAACTTCACTCTTGTAGATTTGTGCATTTTCACTGTGCAGCAGAACTGCAAAACCTTTTGATCTCAGCCACAGTTTTCAAGGCTTTGCTAGAAAATAAGAGTTTAAACTACTGCTGCAGAATCCAGCTGATCTCTACTGGCTGCATGTTTTGTTCTCAGCTTCAGGGTTGTTTGAAGGTTGATTAAGTCGCTGATATGATTGTTCACGTTTCTGTAAGATTCTGAGTTCGTGTCGTCTCTTGTATGTTTGTTGTCTGTATCTCATCTCATTATTGGTGCCTTTCTTTGCCAGGACACGCTTCATAATTGGATTAGTCCTGACGGTATTAATATAACAAGAGTAATGAGGGTTTGCAACTCATCCTCAGGAACAGGCTCAGTCCACAGTGGCGCGCACAGAACCACTAACTATCATGCGGATTCATTTCCCAGCTTGCTCACGTTTGTGCTGTCTCTCCAGCGTCATGTTGATGTTGTTGGTGGAGCTGCCCAGGCTGTTGTAGGCCTCCACAGTCACAGCGTGGAGCTCCTGGTTCCACTCGAAGCTGTAGGAGGACACCGGCTCGATCCACTCCCTCGTCACAGTGCCGCTCGAGAACTGGTGCTGAACTATAAATCCGTCCACGCAGTAGGAGCGCCCCGACACTGGGAGACTCTGGAGAACAGAGCAGAACGTTTAAACATTTTTAATGATTAAGCCTTAAATCATAAGGCTGGTGTTATTCAATACTTTTTTTTACTGTCGACAAATCCAATGAAGAGACCAAGACCAACAATTCCCCAGTCTGTCTCCATACTTTTTAACTCCTTGAGCAATGTCTCTGGCTCTCAGCCCGAAGCTCATTCCTACTGAAGATGAAAATGATCAATAAAAATAAGGAGTAAATGATGCATTTCTTGGGGAATATTTTGAGTTGCAGATTTGGTGCAGTAGTATTTCCTGCAGCAGGGTCGTGCACGTCGGAATGACCCTAACCCTAACCCCAAAGTAAACTGCAGTGCCTGTTTTCATAGTAGTGAAGGAACATGTTATCCAGGTGGTGACAACAGAGCTCTACGACACGGAGGAATTGGCCACACTGACAATACTTGCTGATCGTTACTTTTTGGGCTTTTTACAGGATTTGTTGACAATAAGAAAATCACCGGACTTAACCTTAAATTATAAGCTTCATGTATATTTTGGCTTGCCTACCTCAAACAGCAGCGTGACATTTGTCTGGTTTCTGTATGAGTCATCTTGAAGAACTCTCCAGAAGTCAGGGCCACGCTCAGGAGCTGAGGAGGAAACCGACAGTTACCCCACGCTGCAGCTTTTACCTTTCTGTTTCTCTATTAGCGACGGAGGTGATGGTATTTGTGTGCCATTTTCTATTAGAGCTACAATCAGAAGGTCAGGTGTGATTCAAAAGGTTCACATCAGGCGTCTGTCAAGGTTGTCATTATCTTAAAAGGTTAACGTTATTTGACATGATTTACCTCTGCTGTTTTGTGGAGTGGAGTAGACCAGGTCGCTCCACTCGCTCCAGTAGCTGATGTTGATGTGCATGCAGCGCACTTGCACCGCATACACCCGGCACATGTCCGGCACCACAACCTCCGCCGAAGGAACACGCACCGGACTCTGGACCTGCAGACGTGACACAGAAGCTCATTTACAAAAAAAAACACAACGAACATCACTAATGGAAAATATCAGATCTGCGGAGTGCACATCTGCTTCATCTATCGATGCCCTTCACACAAGAAAAGAGAAAATGATTGCCTCATATTCATATCTATAAATATATCATTGTGAGCGAATGTTGGACAGAGGTCACTATTGATAGTGTGTATCCAATTTCCAAGAGAATTTTTTAATCAGGAAAATGATCTTATACAGTTCATATCATCTCATGTCAAACTAGACAAGTTGAGTCCATGTCAAAGCATCTGTGTCATATGAGACTTATATATATTTACCAACTGAGTCCTGAACCCTTGTTTGTTCCTAGTTCGTTCCTGTGGTTCTTGATAGATCGACATGTTTAGAGGCAGAGAAACACTTAAGAAAGATAATTTAAGGTCAACCTAGTCCTGTTTTCGGAATAAAATAACCATAAATGAAGAGCAGAGAAAGTGGAAGTGGTCTGTGGATATCATCCTGTTTGCTATTTACCAGATAATTTCAAAACAAATTGATATTTTGAAGACATTTGATCAGTTACTTTTGAGAGAGCAAACCCTAACGTCTGGCCAAACTTTCAAACAAAGCCTGTGGTTGGTACACAGTGTAAAAGACAAGCTCACCTTCCACTCCGGCTGGGCTCTCACCATGGACGGCGAGTGGTACCGAAACTGACACTGGAGCCCCTGGACCGGCAGAGACGGAGGCTCCCAAGTGACCGTCAGGACCCCACTGCTCCGGCTCACTGCCTTCACATTAGTGGGTGTGTGGGGTTTCACTGCAGGGGAGGAAGACCGCAGAGTTCTGAGTTTGTCTCATAAAATTTCACAATTCTCTACAATATTAACACCAAGTATGACAACTGCTACAGAACATCTGAACTTCCTTGTAACTAAACTTCATGTAAAAAGAGATGATTGGTCCAAGAGATGTTTTTAATTTAGTCCATTGTAAACACTATCTTATGTATCTTTTTTTTTTACCTTAAACATTTTATCCTAAAACATCTCATATCAACAGCAGTAAATTAAGTGATATTTTATTTTGAAAACACACAGGGAAGACACCTCAGGATACATGAAGTAATGATCACTACAACTACAAGTTTTATTATCACATTCACTTTTGATGGACAGACTTTTATTCAACCTTGGTGGCGGAAATAATCAACATCTAGCAATATCAGCATCACTCGATACTGTAGCGTGGCTGACATACTGTATAACTGTGTAAACAAAACCAATATGCTAAAAACCATTGATAAGACATGGAGTTGTTGTTAAATACTAGAATCCGTCTTCCTCACCATGATCTATGGGCGACAGGTAGACGGGTTTGGACCTGATGGGGCCCAGACGGGACGACACCTCCAGCCACAGCTTGTAGCAGTTCATCCTCAGAGGATGGATGGTGCAGCTTTTCTCCCTGGATCTGACCGGCAGGCAAGCAGGCCCCATCTCCCCCACTTTCTCACCCGCTCTCTCCCTTTCCTCCATCACATCGCACGACAGGTCAGCCCACCTGGCATGAAAAAAATCAATAGTAGAACTCAACATTTTTGCCATGTTAAACCTCGGTCCTCGTGCCATTCATCTCCCTTTTCCCTCCACTTCATACAAACGGATCAGTAAAATGCTGCTACAGTTTATCAGATGCTCAGTTACAGAATCATTTCTGTTTAATACAACTTTACTTTAGTAAGGTAAAAAGTAGGCATGTTGGAGAAGAACTGGAGTAAAGAATTCAGTTGTAGTGTCCCACAAGAGGCCTCTCAGTTAGTAGGAAGAGCTATGAAACAAACATTACATAATTCTGTCAGTCAGTCATTGTGGTTTGGGCTTTTTTTTTTAATGTACTTTCTATTGCTCTGAGGTCACACAATAAGTGCCGATGACACAGATTTATAGTTTATTGCTCATAGGCTCTCCCTGATGTCACTTCACACTGTGTTGGGCTACAAACAAGTATTTCCAGGGTGTGTCTGTGATTCCAATGAATGTGTTGTTTGGTACATTGAGTCTATTGTCTGGTACAGTGTGCTCAGTAACTTCCAGGTTTTCAGGACATTGAGGTCAGAGTGTTTTTTTCAAGGTTTCATTAACAATGCCAAAAGCTTGTAAATGCATTCAAATGCATTTTACCTCCTGCACGGGTTTAGATGTGTCAAGTGCTTTACCTGGATCGAAATTTGGGTTTAGTCCACTGTGTGTTCTTCCAGCTGCAGTCCATAGCATCGATGTCACCGTTGGTTTCACAGGTGATATCAATGGAAGCTCCTGGAACACACACACACACAGAAACGCTTCAGTTTAGGGCAAAAATAAAAACACATTTGATCTAAAGATAGCCTCCGCACTGGGATTACTTTGGTTCACATTGTTGTGCTATCACATGTCGCCACTCTCTTTCCTGTCTTTGTCCACTGAAGCAGAGAACCACGACACAAGAGGAGCATGGATTTTTCCAGCAACGTTAAAAAGTGACTTTCACGACAGAAACTGCTCATCCATCTCTGGAAATTGTACATAATAATAATACTAATAATAATAATAATAATAATAATTATTATTATTATTATTATTATTATTATTATTATTATTTGTCTATCTTTCTCTGGACATGTGGTAGTAATAGTGTTTAACAGTGCATAATATTTTGCTGTTATTGGTGCGACAAAGCTCACCCTCCACATAGATCTGGCTGTAAGGGATGGTCCACTCCTGAGTGCACTGCAGCAGGTCATACATCCGAGTCTCTGAAGGACGCACTGTGATCTGGCTGACCTGGTTTGGGTAAAAGAAAAGTCAGATCTACTGTATTCATTTATTTAGACACACTGTACTTTTAAAAAAAAAACACAGGGAAGTTCATCCAACGTCTTGGAAATGTTCCCAGAAACACACTGAGCCCTGGAAGGAGAGATTTTCTGTTCTTACCCACTGGTTGATGGGGTGGTACTGGCTGCGATGTAGCGGCTGCTGGAAGTTGAGCATCCACATGGCCGTGCTGGCGTTGATGCTGTGATCGTTGAACACACAATACACCGTTACGTTCTCCCCTGGTCGCGCCACAACTTTCTCAGGGATGTAGCTCACCGCTGTACGCACAAAGACAAAGAATCGAGATGTGGTTTTATTTTTTAAAGCTTTTTGTAAGAACCAGGATCTCTGTCATACTTACTCCTATTATAATTTTCATTTCCCACTTGTTTTTTCTATGTAGCAAAGGACAAACCCAAGCAAACTCCAAAAGTAATAAAGGAGACTAAAACAAAGGCCATGAAACAAACGGCTTAGTCATTCTCATTCACCCACAATTTTAATGCGGACTTTGACAAAAGAAATCCTTTTACAGGACTTTTGAAGACTTTTCCTCTTTGTTGTTGTTTGTCACACAGTCTGAACTTAGTTGAGTGTGAGGGTCGTTATCTAACCACCTCTTTAGATACAGCCCACCAACACATCTATGTGACGTCAGCTGCTCTGCCCGCAAAAAAAAAAAGAAGAGAAGGAATCTGAGTCATCACCAAAACAGGTGAAGATCTCAACAAAAGATCACTTCAAATTGAAACGGTGTTTCATGAGTGTTAGAGTTTAGATGTTTTGATCAAAAAACATTAAAAATTGTACTTTTTACTTTGCCAAAGCCTTTGTAAAACTTCCTGCCATCACCTGAGGCAATAACGTAATGGTTCTGTAGCTGTGGCCTTTGGCTTGATGACTAAGATCTGTTGAGTCGCACAAACTTCACATGCACGCACACGCACACACACACACACACACACACACACACACACACACACACACACACACACACACACACACACACACACACACACACACACACACACACATTTTTATACCAGGGTCAAATTTCCTCATGTGATACACACACAGTACATATACATGGATTTGTAGGTAGATACACACACTCCTCTACTATGTTAACACTGCCAGGAATGGTCTGTTTTGCACCAACCCTCCAGCTGATGTTCACATTTTAATTAGCAGTCTGATGTTACAGAGCACAGAATAACAACCAGCCAACATGAACAGTTTATGAACAGTGGTGTTAAAAGGGTCACACAGAGCACGTAAACAATTCTCACTCTCGTTTTTCAAGTCTCAGTTTCACCATTTTAAAAACTACTCTTATGAAATCTGTACATTTTTACCTCTGTGAAACCATGTTTTGTCACTAACCGTGAGAATGACCTCTGATTCGGAGTCCATTGATAATGGCCATACGGAAATGAGCCCTTCATCGATGGCTCAGACTAATGAGCTTGACTGGGTTTTAATAGTTTAGTATGGACATAAATCTACCTGAGAGATAATTGAGGTCAGTGTTTGAATCTGCTTCAGGCAGCATTGAATTCTCGCATTCAGGACCTCTCAAAGAAAATGAGAGTTGAATTGCAGCTGGTTTAAAATGTTAGCCTGTCAAGTTCACTGCAAAAAGACATGATTATCTCATTTTACTTCCTAATTTTAGGGCCATCAAGAACACTAAATTAGCTCTCACATAATTTAGATTTGTGGTGTTTTATATTTCATTCAGGAAAATCATAAAGGTAAGGGGTAAATTTAGCTTTTCTGTATTTATTACTGGTCAAACTACGTGTTGCAGGGAACTGGGAAATTAGAAATGAACTGTGCTTCCCTTGTGTCACTCAGGTCAAAACATCTCCCTCTGCTAAAACCTTGCAGCTTGAACAAAAGTGCAGGAGTGAAAAACATTGTATATTGTAATTTGTATATCTATCTGTAAACAGTTGGAAGGGAACGGTTCTTACTGTCCAGGTAGATGTGGTGACTTTCACTCCACTCGCTCCACAGCGGCGGCTCATCCAGGCCGGAGCAGCGAACCTGGATGGTGTAGTTCAGTCTGGGCTTCAGATCCAGAGACAGTCTGGGCTCTGCGGGTGCAGACACCATCTAGACACAGAGGAGAGCGCACAACTGACTTTAAAGATAGGGTGTGTTTTCCTGAGAACAATGACTGAATCAAAATACATCATCAAAACACAACTGTGGTTGCTCATCAGTGTCTCATCAGATGTAACTGTTACCAAAACACAAAAATAACCTACAGCCATAGTCGGAAAGAGTGTGTAGACAAGACACCTGCAAATTCTGACCAAGTTTCTCTTCTATTCTTTTTTTTTTTAATCATATGTTCTTTGAAAAATAACCTTTGGGAATCTTTGAAAAGCCTTTTTGATTGCTGTATAATGATAGATTATCTGATATTCTATTTAAATGGTAGTGAGAATAACAGGTAGTTGTGACCCTCCATCCCTTATGCATGTGGTGTATAACAGGTCAGTATTTACCTGCCAGGCTGGATTAGTGGTGTTAAAGGAGTATCGGACCTCATATCTCAGAAGGCCAGTATCAGTAAAGTCTGGTGGGTCGTCCCAGTGTAAAATCAGTTCTGCCTCGATGGTCTGCGTGTGGGAAAGGTTGACTGGAGGACCAGGTTTTACTTTGGAAAAAGAAAGAGAAAGATCATCTAATGAAAAGACACACATAAAAAAAAACAGTACTGTGTGTTCCCCAACAGAATCAATATACAACAGACAAATTACTTACAATCATAACGTTACTTTGATCCTGCTCTAATATTAGTTTGCATTATCAAAGCTCACTAAATCCTATTCCTTTATTACAATATGTGTAAATAAAATTAGAGGATTATATTTTCCCTGCGGTTTATAAGATTTTAACCCTCCCTGCAGTCATTCACTAATTCCTACTGTATGTTATCACTCAGTGTTCGCACCAGGGCTTGTAATTTACTCTTCAAGAAAATATGACACGACAGCAGTTTACATCTAAAGGTGGCATTTGCCGTATTTATGCTCGTCTTGATGAAGCAAAGATCAATACTCTGCTAGTCCTTGTGCCAGGATTACCAATACTTAATGAACAAATCAATCACATCTTGAGTGCAGAGTTAATGAAAAATATAGATAGCGTGTAATTCAATTTCTTGGCAAATTCATTTTACCTTTTTGGTCTAAGCTTATGCCCCTAAATGTCAGTGAGTGAGTTTTGAATCAAAGCATGTAGCTATTAATTATCTGTAGAGCACATAATGCCCTATAGTGATAGTGAATGACCATTTCAGATGGTGCCAGATGTATATTTACTGTCTTATTTACAGCCCGGTTAACAAAGATCTCCCAGTTCAACCATCAGTTACAGTATGACACATCCAGCCAGAGATAATTGAGTCTCATGAAAACCACAGAGATGCAGACTGGGAGCGGACAGATTACTCAACATTATGAGTAATAGCTCAACAATTTCATATCCACACTACTCTAACATCAGGGACAAGAAGACATTTTCCCTCTGAAAGGCTCATTTACAAAGTCATGCTGAGGCAACATTGATTACTCTCCAAATATAACAGCAAATCACTGTTCACATCATGTGCCATCCAAGTACACAGCACACAAGGGCAGTTCAGAGCCTAGGTGACATAACAAGGAAAGGGGGAAAAAAAAGCTTCATTTGCACCAATTATTCCTAGAGTCATACCTTTTTTTTATTTTTTATATCTGTATCTGAATAAACTGTGTTCTATTTGTTATCGTTTACATGGTTACAGTGCAAACAGGCAATGTAGTGAACAACATGTAATTAAACTAGTATTTTACTTACATTTTCCAGTATCTTCCTAGATCAACTATATTCATATGCGCGTAGTGTTTCAAGTAGTTAAATTACTATTTTCTGTGCCATTTTTGTGTAGTTAACCACTGAAACTGCAAACGATTTTGGGCCATCAAAGGAAAGGAATGATGTTCTTATTTTTATTTTACCATTGTTTCTTAATTGAACCCCCTTTGACCAGGCTGAGAATGTCCCCTCAGCATGACTCCTCTACCCCCAGAACACCAACACTCATCGCTCATATATAGATATTCATCGTCTGTTAAAAACTTGTTGCAGTATCCCACTGTAAAAAAAAAAGAGTATATTTCTTATTATTGGATTATCATCATTATTGCCGCATTAACACGTGTTGGAGGAGCATGTTGATGTAACATAGAGAGGAGGAAAAGGATAAAACTGCAAAGTGAACACAATGTAATCTGTTCTGCTATCACAGTTTAACCAAATAGGTCTGGCTGAACAAACCAGACCTTGGAAAGTCCTTGTCTATCGCTGTGAACTGTGGGCTGCTTTCAGCTTTATTCCGGTCACAACTGCACAAAACTCTTTCCTTTTATCTGCCCGGATTCTTCACTTTGAAGCTGGACTCTGGTAAATCTTGGTCTTTTAAATATTCAGACGCTCTGCATCATCTTCATTCATGGCTGAATTTATTCTCAACACGTTAATACCAGTAATTAAACCACTTTGAAAAAAGTGAATGCTGGGAATTTGCTTTTTTGGTGACTTACTGTAACGCACTTAAAACAGTGAGTCCTTGCTCACACCCAATCACTGTACAATAAATGCCAGGATGTTTATCAATTTGTCTTTACATTTAATAGCTTCAAACTTCCCAGAGGCCTTTGGAATAACTATTCTGCTTGAGAGGCCTTCAAACCCGCTCTCTGTACCAGTTTTTTTTCTAATGAGTTATTCTTTACAAATAGTTTATAAGTTAAAAGTTAAACTAATAAGCCAACCTTTAGGCTGCCAGGTTATGAATTCACTGACGCCATCAGTTACAACTTATACATAAAACACCATTAAATATGCATTAGAAAGCAGAACACATTTCTCAGTAAGTTAATGACTTACAAGCATGAAGTGCTATTTGTCCTTCCACTCCAGGTGCAATAACTTAGGAAGATTTAACTCCACCTTCCTGTCTTTTGAATTATAAATCTGTCGTGTTCCAAAAACTTCCATTATTGATTATTTGGATGCAAGTCTTTTAATTAGCTTAAGTAAAAGCTGGTTCAAAATTAGTGCAGACAGAAGCCCTTGCTCTTCTTCTCCACTGGCTATGAATCCAACAATATCTTAAAAAATGGGAAGGCAAAATGTGTCTCTAATATAAATTCCACTTTCTTACCAGGTCGGGCAGGAACTCTGAGCAGGACCGGCAGAGCTACAGCGTTGGAGATGCTGACAGTCACCACAGTGACAAAGCTTGTTGTAGTGTCAAGAGTGACTGAACACATGAAGGAATCCTTCGCTTCACAGACAACAGGATCACCAGACGCAGGATTCCCATAGTTCACCTGTGAATCCTCTTGCTGGGACCTGGAAATGGATGGAAAAATAGTTTCAGTCATTGTTTTCTCTGTGAATTTAAAACATTTGATTAAAACTGAATATTACTGAATGTCCAAACAGTAGCAAACATGTAGAGACGTGTTATAAGTTTGTTTTTGCAGTATGTTGAATTTATATGAAGTGTGTCTTCAAAATAAGACCAATTAAGATCAGTTTAGCAGACGCCCGTCACATTCATTCACACATTCACATCAGTTGATTGACTTCAGACTGTTTCATTATTTTTGGTCAAGTTTTTCCTACACTGAATCTGACCAATAAAGTTTAATTGTTCTAAAATATCTTTCAGATATTTTTTTTGTTTCTTCTTAGATTTCAAAATCAACAAAACAATCTCATCTCAAGATAAATTCTTTTTTTCATCAGATCATTTTATCTTTTTATCTTTCATCTTTTATACTTTACTTCATTACTAAAGTGCTCATCACAATTGGGAATTGGAAACATTAACAATTCTTTGACACCTTGGCATCTTTATCTACTGATGAAGATTGTGTTCTATGATTGAAAGCTCCAGAACAGATAATAAATGGACCATGCAAACATCCCAGAACAGTTTGATTCTGTGCAACATGTACAATGTCTGGCATCTCTTATCTAGTGTGTGTTTGATTAGTGGTGAATTGCTCTCTTTATCCTTACCACAATAAAAGCCTGGAGCCAGTATGATATCACACTGCCCCCCTCTGCTCATCAAAGTAAACCCACATGCTTAACCTCCCCCCCACTGAGCAGTCTGGAAAGGTTCACATCGGTCTCACACACACACACACACACACACACACACACACACACACACACACACACACACACACACACACACACACACACATACACAGTCTGGAAAAGCCAAACCCCCAATGGAACAATAAGAGGCCGCAGCTTCATACTCACAGCAGACGCTGTAAGCTGACCGCCATCAGGCTGGCATCCAGAGTGGTTGATGGGTCGCCGTGAGACTGGAGATCACAAGTTAATTTCTCCCAGTTTTCAATTCTGCACAGTATGTCCAAACAGGTGCCTGACAAGAAATTACAATTTCATGTTAGTAGCACCACCAGCGCCATCCCCACATGCCATTGACCAGTTGAGTGTGACCTCCTATGAAGGTTTCTGAGAAACAAGCCTGGCGTCATATTCTGAGAAACAGTGAGATACTGTGAGAAACAAGACAGAATACAGTGACAGGGCTCCTCCAGCCTGGCAATTTTAATCGTGAGGAGAAAATCATGACGAATTAACTGTGAAGGCTTAGGTTTTGGTTCATTGTTGTTCATTTTTTTGGCCACGATAATCGTGTAGTGAGAATCTGATATCGTGACAGCCGTATTTCAAACCATTAAATTATTTTGAACTTTCTCAGTCTGAAATTAATTTGTCATGTTGAATAACTATTTCATGTGTGTCCTGGTCAGAAGTCATAATACTAATCAAGTGTTTTTTTTGTTCAGTCTCAGCCCCCCTGCAGTCATTAACCCACATCTCTGTTGGGGATGTTTTTGGTGCTGAAAGCAACAAAAGATGTGAATGAAATAGGTATGACTAACACGCAAAAATTAGAAAACTGACTTAACATACCCTGTAGACCTTGGTGTGTGTGTGTGTGTGTGTGTGTGTGTGTGTGTATGTGTGTGTGTGTGTGTGTGTGTGTGTGTATGTGTAACACTGAGCTGAATCACACTCGTGGCTGTCAAAAGGCCTCATAAAGCAATCATGAGGCAGAGATCAGGCCTTTAGCTTCTCTGTTTTATTACCACTGCGTAGACATAAAGCTGGAAGGTCTTTGCTAATCACCATCGGTTTGAACGTCTCACACCGCCTCGCAGCTCGATGCAACAAAGCAAATCCTCCTCGCCTCCACGATGTCTCAATATTGCCTCACCTCCATCTTCACCTCCACGCTGACAATATCAAGAGAGCATTTTGTAATTATTACTCATCTGAACTGGCCCCCATTTGCTTTTTAAACTTACTGACCCTCTCATTATCTCTGTGGTGCTGAGGCATTTCTTAGAAAAGTGGCAGACATAAGAACAGCTGGTTTGATTTTGTTGTGATAACTGACAAAAGGATCAGGGAATCCTTGTGAGCCAGACATTGTGAATTGATCATGACACTAGGCTCATGTGGTCGCCCACCCTGATGTGCGACTGGGTAGGACACCGGAGAGAAAGACATTAAAGTGTAATGAGCCTGTCAGGCTGATCTTTGGGGTGGTGGGGGTGGGGGGTGGGGGGCATCTCTATCAGTGACAAGTGATGCTGCTGCAAGCAGATCATCAGGCTGTGTCACACCAACCCCGCAGTTTGTTCTGATGAGCAGGAGCCACATCATACAGCCAACCTGTTGCCACTTGGTATCACAAGTGTATAATTTCTTGTAAACAAACAAAGTTCTGCTTATGTTTCCTCATGCACAGATCAATGTTTATGCTGTACATTTTGTCTAAAGACAAGAATGGATTAGCACAAATCAGGAGGAGCGTGTATCACGTTATCTGCAGGATCACTAGAGCCCACTCATCAACACGCTGCTCTGTAGCACCACTAGTGGTCAAAAACCCCTTTAAACTGTAGAAACCACCACTTAAGTAGCAGATGATGATGAGTTGGCAACTCACAATGTATAAACAATGTTGATGCCCAGAGCCAGTGCAGGACCTAGTGTACCCTTTAGGTAACGAGGTGGAGAGTGAGAGCATGAGGGTTCAGGTGGTGCACAGTGATGTAGCACCTGACTGTCATGCAGAAGACCAGAGTGCACATCCCGTCACAGACTTGTCTTTTTATTTACCATTACCAATATCTGTCTTGAACTTTAACCAAGTGTTTTAGTTGCTTAATTTGTCACCACGGCTCAACCACGATTTATTTGCTATAACTGTGAACTTTCCCTAAAGTGAACCATACAATACAACAACCATGCACATATTGTACAAAGCATGTAATAGTTTTTCAGATTTTCTGCCTGAATGCTATGTGCCTGTTTGGTTACTTTGAAAAATTATTTTTTAATATTGTGCTTGAGTAATTTGAGGGGTTCCTCCTTGAGAATTAAAACTGTTTAAGTTAAATTAAAAGTGCAGTATAAATACACTTTGTACTGAATTCCACCATGGTGTACTTAAATTCTAAAAGTGTGAAAATATCTATGAATAGGAATTACATCTATGGTTTGCCTAAAGGACTTTGTTCGTCTTAAATTATACTGTTGCCATTGCATTGGTTAAAAGAAAAGAGAACATTTTTATGCATCACAAGAAATAGAAATTATAAATTATTACGACAAAGTCTGTGAACCTCTGATCAAGTATCTTTGAGCCTTTGACTTCACTAACCTGCAACCTCATATGGTAACATCATAAATAAAATGTCAGAGCTTGTTGTGCACATGTAACACTGATGCATGTGAACAATGCCCCGGATTAAATAACTGAAGGTAACCCATTTACCAATCAAAGCTCGGATCATGACGTTCAGCACTGAGCAAAGTTGCCGTTGGAGAAAATTCATAAGATGGAAACACTGATAGATAAAGGAATCATCTGTTAAGAAACATTTTGTGCATACCAGTATTGGATGAACTCTTACCGGCAGAGGGCTCGTGAGGATGTGATTCGGTTTTCAAGCTCCTGAAGCTGCAGCGGGGATACTGTGGGAGGTTTGATCCGGAGCGGTTTGTCCTGGGTGTATGCGTGCCGCCTCCCTCCACATTGAGGTGGGCTGAAGGTGAGTCACAGCACAGCTCATCCTGCCATGGGAGATCCAGGGCACCTGTCTGGAGAGAGGTTCCCTCCTCAGGCTCCAAACACTGAACACCTGATCACAGAGAGGCAAACAAGTGAACTCAGGTTTGACACATGGACAGGAAAAAAACTGATGATTTATGCTGCATTTTTATTGTAAATTTTGTCTTATTTTTCTGCATCAGTGTTGTTTTTATCAATGGGCTGGAATGGAAAGATGTGTCTGTGTCTCAGAGAAAAACACGAAGAAGAACACGAGAGGAGCACAAAGACCCTGTTGGTGAACACCTGACATGTTATTGATTTGAGCCCAGGTGAAAGTCATCATATTGGTTTAACAACTGGCAGTGGATCACACACAGTACGGTCAAAGAAAAGGGGTTTTCATTTTGGCAGCTGAAACCAAATGAGCTGTACACAAGGGAAATCTGCCCACTGCAACACAATAAATCTCAAGGGCTCAAGTGTCAACACTGGTATGAAGCTGTGGCATGCCGTGTATCAGGAGATTATATGGACTAACACATCGTGACCAGTGTTATTTCTTCAAACCCAGAGTACGACTTAAATAGAAATGTCAAGTCCAAGCTGAAACCACTACCAATAACTGACAAAAAAGCAACAGGGATTTCAGGATTTAATGACTTCCATGTCCATCTAAGTTATGTCATGTTATGTCATGTGATAGAAAACATCTAATTACATGAGAGAAGATGATGTTTCATGCATTTAAACTGTATCACCAAAGAGACTGAAAGTGGTCCCAAAGCAGAATCCTGAGGAACCCCTTCACAGGGATTTAATAAATATTTGACCACCAGCAAGTATGGTAGTTCTTAGATCAAGTGTGTGAAGGCGGAGAGAATGAATGACTGCATCACTCAAGTTTTAATTGTTTTTGTTCATGAGATGAAAATTTAACACAGAGGTGGCGGCAGAGACGTTGCTCTGCCTTGGTCTGAAAACAAATTAAACCTTCAGCTGGGTGTTGAATGCAATTCAGGCACCAGCTACAATACAGTCAATTTACTTCAGCACAATTATAGATAAGAAAACACCAGCACAAAACCGGCGCCTTGTTTGAGCTGCTGGACCATCACCTGTTCTTCTCCTATCAGACCTTTGACCACATTTCTTCACAGAAAAATAACGGTTCTTAAAGGGTTCTACAAGGAACCACCTTCAGTTAAAGAACCTCTTATTTTTGGGATGGTTCTTTAATGATCTTTATATGATTCTTTGTAGTATTAGTATTTTTTATTCTTATTTGACTTATTTAATGGTAAAATAAAATAAACTTTGTTTGAGGTGGTTGGCTGGCCATGGAATTGTAAATTAGCCAATGCTAGACAATTACAAAAATAATAAAAATATATTTTTCACCATTTCTTTCCACTCAAAAGACACTAATGCAATCTGGAAGAAGACACTCCAGCTGAGAGGTCACATCTGATGTGTAGGAGGTGGAACTCACCATAGGACACCAGGAAAATATGCATCAGGACTGTCAACATCACAGACCGAACCCTGTAGAGAGACACAGAGGGCATAAGCAATGGACATACGGACAGAGAGACGGTAAACAGGTGGGACATGAGATAAAAAGAGAATTAATTGGAAAATAAAACCAAGAGAGCAGCTGTACAAAGAGAAAAGACAATAATATAGATAGAAAAGAAGTCAGTCCGGTATAAAGGCAAGATATAGTTGATTTAATAGTGTTGTATTAACATGATGTACGTGTGAAATTATCTCTTAATCTGAAATGTTAGGGAGGGGAAAGGTATATCAGGTTTTATTGGAAAGCAGTGGGAGGTATACTCGCACGTATGCCACCGTGAAAAATCCAGTGCCAGGAACTTTGACATAGTTACACAGAAAAGCGGTAGAACTAGTTGACCAACTTCTCCACAGATGAGACGACTCATCTGATACAGAGGGGCTCTCTTCAGAAAAAGGACATTGGTCAGCAGTTCTCATTAACAGCTTTTCATCACTCCAGTGGCAAGAGGTTGGTGTCTACTGATGTTAAGACTTGTTCCTTGTTCTTCGTAGAGCAGTGGATCCCAATTTTCTTTATGTAGGTTTGGTCATGTTTGCATTGATGCCACTACTTGGAGCAGCTGAAGCTTTACGTTTCAACCACTTTTAGCTACCTATTTCAACTTCGTTTTCAAATTAGCGGAGCTACTCCGCAATCTTTCTACATAATCACAAGCAACTGCATTTCTGCCCCAAGGGCATACGCCAACACTTGATTGTGAGTCACTGTCCTAGATTAGAGACAAACCTGTGTGTATGCCAAAGTAAATCATACGCCTTTACTCCAGGAGCATGTGACTTGTGAACCCATGCACTAATGTTTTAAAGTAAGAATTGACTTTTAGTTTTAACAATTTTATGTAGCTTTTCCAAAAAAATAAGTCCAGGGAATCCAAAAGATACCACTGTTTTTACTATTTACCACAGTTAAGCCTTGTTTTCCCTGAAATCCTCACGCACTGTTTAAAAACTTAATCTGTTTCCTGACCGCGAAGAAAAGAATTTTTAATTTATAATTTCATGACTTTCAGATGTTTATTAAATGACATATTTCATAAAATCGTGGGTTGCAAATTCGTTGATTTATAATCATAAGATTCTATAAGATGCTGGATTTATTTTTCTCCCCAAACCCAAGACACAACCAATTTCAGACTGGTATTTTCATCTGTAGGAGGCGGAAACCGCCCATCATAATCAATCCAAACATCCGTGCTTTCACCTTCTCTCAGTGAATTCAGTTCAACTATGCCACCTCAGTAATGGCCGGTTTGTCCGTGTTCTGCAACACTTACATTGTAGTGGTCATAGTGTGAGCATGGCCTTGCTGGGCTTTGGCTGGGGTGAATCTCACTGAGGAGAGAGAGAGAGAGAAAGAGAGAGAGAGAAGGTTGATCACATATAAAGATTTGAAGCAGTGATGCAAGTCAATTTTTACTCCAACAGGACTGAACTTGACTGGAATAAATGGGGGTAACAGGACCTAAGTGGAAAAAAAACCTGGCAGTGGGATTAAAAAACTGCAGAGGATTTCTCAGACACATCACACACACACATTTGAGCGGCAGATCTCTCACTGATAAGAGCACCTCCCACTCTCCTGATAAAATACTCCACAGCTGCTCTTCATTCATCCATTCATTCATTCATGGGAAAAGTTTATTCTGCCATGCAGCAACAATAAGGAATATAATCACTGTTTTATTTTCTCTAGAAATCATTAACATATGGAAGAATCATTTCACAACAACCCACATTTCGATGCTTTTACACTGTTATGCAGACAACACCCAGATTTATTTTCTGCTGACTGGTGGCTGCTGACAAGTTATGGCTTGTCTCTCTGACATCAAATACGGAATGTCACGACACTTCTTCCAGCTCAAAGAGTCTGAATCTGTTATTCAAGAGCTTTGTTTTGGCATCCAAATCACAAAGGTAGTGCAATGACACTTCCTCCAACTTAGAAATATTACAAAAAAATAAACACTCTTTTATCTCAAGAGGCACTTCGAACAATCATCCATGCTTTTATTTTGTCACTTTTGGACATTTTCTGCCATAAAAGTCGAGTAATTTTGTTTTCTTAAATATTTCCGCTCTTATTAAGACAATTCCTGCTTTATTTTGATTGTCGCTGGCCTTCATTATAAAGCTTTCTGCTGCTTGTTTTGGTGCCAAGCAAGAGCAGCAAAGGAATAAATTAATACAGTGACCACATCTATTAATTCATTGATATTCTAGACCAAGACAAACAAACACACGCACTGGACACAGTGAAAAACAGAGCCACAGACCAACTGAAGTGTGTCTGTGTGTTTGTGTCAGGAACTGTGTGTTCAGTGTGCGCGTGTAATAAGTGGATCATTTGCAAATCAATCTGTGAATGTGTACTAAAACTTGTCAATGTGTAGAAGAATCTGTCAACGTGAACAATGTGTTTGTATCTTACAAATGATCCACTGGACACAATAACAGACTGGCACAGAAGTATGTTGTATGATCAAACAAATAAAGTAAAATGAATGAATGAATGAATGAATGAGTTAATTAATAATTAATCATCATCAACACGAAGAGGCTGCAGAACAAGACAACATATAACACATCTGTTCCCACATCTGTCTTCACCTACAGGTGGGCAAAACAAAGCCTGCCGACTAGTTCCTGAGAGAAGTAATGACCTGTCATGCAGTGCTTTGTGTTTTCACTTATCTATGAATCCTGTAAGAGAGAATTTCAGTTTCCATATTAACAGGAACAGAAACCTGAACTACCCAAAACTGCAAGGTTCTGACTTTTTCTTTTTCTTCTTCTTTTTTCACATAATGTTAATCTTTAAATATTCTGAGGTTTGTTGTGTTGTTTCAAATATAGAACATTTCATGGTGGACAATTAAAACAGATGAAACACTTTCTTCAGAGACCTCATTTGTTTTTGTAGTTCTGTTGAAAACGACAGACATACTTGGATCTCATTTGCCAGTTGCTCTGTTCTAGAGACTGATTACACATAAATGATGTTTATACAAGTGTACACGTTTTGGTTTTTGCTGTTTCAATAAATGATCAGGAGTAAACCACCATAGGCACAAATGTCAATATTAGCCTCAGGTTGTGATGAAAGGTTTTCCACCCAGTTTCATTTGCAGTGTCTTACAATAACCTTTCACTCTCTGTCCAATCCAAACCTATGCTTTAGCCCATGCCTATGGATAAAATCCCCTATCACTGTATGTGTGATTTCATATCATGATATCAACATATATTATAATATAAAGAATCTATCTAGAAACTGTTCATACATAAATTAACCTGATAGGAATGTCTGTTTTGGGCTTATCCATAAATAATACTTGACAGATCAAAGCACTTTTTCACATTGATGAAAAACATAAAAATCCAATATTGCCACGCAGTAAATCCACAGCACTGATTTGCAACGCTGCCTACAAAGGTCTGATTTAATCAGAGATATTAATAGGATCACTGTCACAGTGTAAACAGTATCACATGATCCCTGCCAAATTCATATCATGCTATATATCATCACATTACTGAAGCCTTGTGAGGATCAATCAGAATCTGACAGCCTATAGAGAGAAGTAAGATTCATGTTACTGTCACTCTCTTACCACAACACTGGAGTTTGGTGAAGTTTTACGGTAAAGCGTAACCACAGTCAGCTGCTGGTTTACCAGCTCCTTTGTTATGTTGGTGATGTATAACCACATAACTCATTTCACATCAGGCTATTCATGTGGTTATACGCTGATGCTCGTTGGTGTCTAGAGCTGCAACGATTGGTTGGATAATCGACTGGCCGACTGACGACTATTTTAATGACTGATTAGTTATTTTAACATTACCTTGTTCCAGATCTTCATCTGTGAGAATCTGCTGCTTGTTTTTGTCTTTTGTGAAAGTAAACTGAATATCTTTGGGTTTTGGACAATCGATTAATGAATCTGAAGACTTGATTTGAGCTTTAAGCAGTTGTGATGCTGATGTTTCACTATTTTCAGACATTTGTTTAGAAGAATTGATTAAGTAAGTAAAGTTTATTTATATACAACAAACATAAGAAACAGTAAAAAAAACTGACCTGCAGGTTACCCAAAAGCCTGTTTAAACAGAAAAGCAAACCGATCAATCTAGAAAGTAACCAACTACTCCACTAGTGCTTGGATATCGCCCACTACCACTTAATTCAACTAAACTGTCATGAGTCAGCCAACTGGATGTTCCAGGCTCCAACCAGGTTGTGAGACCAACCATCAAGGTGTGACCAAACAACAGAGTCAAGAACTGAATAAACTGAGACAAGGATCAAGAAGAGGATGTGCACCACATGCTCAAAATATCCAGCAGGTGGATTACTACAAGTGTGTGTTCAGATAGTCACAAAACATTCAATGACATGCAGGTGAGTCACCTGTATCCCAGACTGAAAAAAAAGTGTTTTAAAGCATCTTACAGCCTGTGTTGTGTTGTAAAACCAGACATCACTAACAGATCTGACAGCTGAGATGTTGGAAACTACACTACAACAGGGGAAACTGTGTAACCTCAATAACTCATTTAAGGATCAGCAGTGATGGTTCATCCACATTCAGCTGCCTAGCTGGCTTCGGCTTCCTCGTCTCCTTTGGAAACAATTGTGCTTGATCAAGACAACCATCAGAAACTATTTTCCACATGCAAGGGAAGCTCTGCCCCTCTGCTCCATCTCGCCAGCTATTCATCCTGATCTGACTCACTGCCTGCCAGTCTGGAGCTGCTGTGCACAGAGGCGCGCTGGGGCTTGTCCCCCTACCCTCCACCACAACCATCATCATTATCATCATTATTATCATCATGCAGGAGCAGCAGCAACATATTTCTAACAAGTTCCCTTTTCTGACTTTAGATAATTGATAAACAACACATAACACGTAATAAAGTATAGGCTGGCTATATCCTCAAAAAAATAAATAAATAAAATAACACAACGAATAGTTAGTTAAGTTCACGTTAAGTTCAGCATGAGAAAAGCTTTTAAAAGGTTGATGTAAACTCACCATCAGACATATTACGATATAATAATTGACAGACAGGAAATAGTCTATTATAGCACATCTGCACAGAAGTATCATTAACTAAGGCTGAATGTCAGAATGACAGGAGAGAGAAAACAAGTGCCTGACACTTCTGTGTGGAAAAAGAGACTCTGAAAGGTCACAAGAGCGACTGAAAGCCCGACACTCATCCGTGGTGATTAGAGAATAATAATAATAATTAGAGTGTAATAAGGAGACTTTGTTCTTACATCGCTCCTTAAGGTCTCCGCTGCTTCTGTGTCCACGTTCCCCTTTGGCCCAAGTCACAGTTCATTTAGGTTTAAGTTTAAATCCTCACCGAAGACCTGCGCGCCCCCGTCAGAGCGACCTGTTCATAGCTGAGCTGAGACTGAGAGCAGCTACACTGGTGAGGATTTCCCACAGAAAATCGTTTTCCCTCTCTCTCTCTTTCTCTCTCTCTCTCTCTCTCTCTCTCTCTCTCTCTCTCTCTCTCTCTCTCTCTCTCTCTCTCTCTCTCTCTCTCTATCTATCTATCTCTCTCTCTCTCTCTCTCTCTCTCTCTCTCTATCTATCTATCTCTCTCTCTCTCTCTCTCTCTCTCTCACATACACACACACACACACACACACACACACACACACACACACACACACACACACACACACACACGCCACTGTTGCCGTTTCCCTGACGTAAAGCTCAGCCGAGAGCTGAGACTCAGGGCTGGGGAAGAGGAAAGAGGAAGAGGCGGCTCTGCAACGGCCAGCCCCTTGTGATGCGTTCAGATACACCTCCGGAAATCCTACCACTAATGATGGCGATCATAGAACAATGTTCACCAAAACAAAAGTGGTGGTGGAAAGTAACTAAGTATATTTACTCAATGACTGTATTTGAGCACAGTATTATTATCTATGTATTCTTTTATTTATTATATATGATTGATTCTTCATGAATCCACTTCACTACATTTGAGATGGAAACATACTTTTTACTCCAATTTATTTATCAACCAGGGATATTTGACAATGCAGATTCAGATTTGATATAGCCTACATGCAGTAAAACATGAATTTATCTTTTTTACTTATGTTTACTTATTCATTGTTATGTATTTATTTATTTTTATGTACTTATTAGCATTTTTTTGTCCACTCATCAGACAGCAGTTACAAAAATCCAGTCGTCACAAAGTTAGCCATTTATTTTAGGTTTAGACTTCATTTTAAGGTTAAGGGTAGAATATATCATTCCATCCATCCATTTAAAGGTGCAAAAATGTTTATGTCTTTGTGAATTGTGAGTTAGTCTGCAAAGTTTGAAATGCCAACCCCATGCCACCTTTTTCTATCTACTAAAATAGGCTGTAGAGCATTATAAAGGGCAGTAACAGAGACAACTGCTCAAGAGCTTTTACATGGTGAATAAACTGTGAACCAGGATACACACAGACTGACACTGTTTTCTACGATTTGACAACAGTTAAAGAAACAAAACATACTTCTTACACACAAGTTCCATTTTAAAAATGGATTAAAGGAAATGTGCAGCAAACTTATCTTTCCTTTCACAATAGTTTTGGGGATTGCCACTCCCATTTATCAAAAGCTGCAAGTGGTGATAAGTACACTGCAGGCAACATGATGCTACATGCTTCAAAGTCGCTAACATCTCCGTCTTCTTGTGAATTTCGCTTCTTGGGGAAAAAAAACATCTGACTTCTAGAGAACTGCAGAAATGCAACTGTTAAAAGAAAAAGGGTCAGCCTAACAGTTATGTTCCAAATGTCTAACAGGCACCTGCTGTATTCAGGAGTCAACAGATCTCAGTGGTGTGCAGGACAAACAGAGGAACAAACACTTGAGTGATGCAGACTTCTGCTGACATTCAACTTCTTTCTTTCTTTTTAAAAATTTAGCTAAAAAGCTGTCTGTTTTAGTCCCGGAAAAGAAAGTGCCCATCCAGATGTGGATCCTTGGCCACATCACTTAGTCAACCTACTTTTCCAAATGCAAACAGACAGTCCAGTGAATAATCTGTTATTTGAATGGAAATTTTGTCAGTCAGGAATTCTTCATAAAGGCCTGTACTGCACAGTGAATAGTGAATGATTTTGCTGTCCTGGGTAATGTGGCCTGAAATGAGTGTTATATTTAAATGTCAGACTAATGTTTTTAATTTCCATGTTGCACCAGTTGAAAATACAGAACATTCTTTATTGCTACACTACCGCCTGGTGTCCATACGTCCCTTCACTACAGTCCTCTGTATTATTATACCCTTATATTGCAGATGGTGAACATAGAGCCAAACAGAAGTGGAGGTGAGAGAATGTGACTGTATCCATGGAGGAAAAGCAGGGTTACTGGAAAGCACAGTTGTTGTTGTTGTTGTTGTTAGTGTGTCCAGAGTGAAGGTGGACATTTACAGAATTGAGGATGAATAGGACAATATTCATGTGTGCCCGAAGCTTATCAGCGTTTCCCACAAGCTTAACATGTATTCGTGGTGTTAACAACAAACACCACTGAATGCGTCATTCTGGCAGAATTTAATTTGTTTCTACTTTCAATTGCATTTCCGAGAAAACAATAAATCCTAAAATTTAAAAAATCTATGACGGTGTGCTGTACAGATCAACTCTAAACATGGGATTCTATATATTCACAGTTGTGACTAACTCTACAAATGAACCGAAACACATCTATTAATTCCTTTTAGAGAGAAATAATCATTACATTTACAAATTGTTGTTGGTGTTTTCAGGGTCTACTCACTGTCTTTCTTCTCGCTATATCATTTTACTGTAATGATATACTGTATGGTTACCGTCACATCTGGCAAGCAGTTCATGTCAACAGCAAATGATTACATGTGAGACACATAATTAGATAAAGTGTAATATAATGACAACAGTAAATCACTGACTGTCAGAGGAAACAGAGGATGATTGCTGTGTGGCATTATGGGAGTTGATATATACAGGTGTTGGTGGGTGTGGTTGTTAGAATAAGTGAATATGAAGCTGACAAGATAATGGCTGGTTTGTGTGAATCCTAATTAAGTTCATGTGTCAGTTTACAATACCACACCTTTCATTATACGTTCTCAGTATGCTGTCATTTGACAATCCATACTACAGGAGTTTTACTTGATGGTTTTCGGAGAGGGCACAGTGTGTGTTTGTGTGTGTGTTTCTTCTGTATTCTGTACTCATTATGTTGTGGGGACCAAAATCTGCATGCACACTGGGACCCACCTCTGACTCCTTCAGGGTAAAACAATGGTTTAACTTCTGTTTTAGGGTTAGCTTTAAAAGGATGATGAGGCTAAGGTGAGCTTAGGTTTACAGTGGGCCGACAGGAAATTAATGTAGTGAGTACAAAATCCTGACATGTACAGTCATGTATAGCCATTTGTTTTATGACTGGACTCCAGTTTTGTCCTAAACCCATACTACCTGGTCATTCTAGTAGCCTATGCTCAAAACAGTCAGTTTTTTGTACCAAAAACCCTTGATTTTGGAGTATGCTATTTATGGGAATCATTCCTCCACTGAAACAAAATAAAAAACTATTAAATGAAAAATAAAAAATGTAGCTTTCTCTTTCCTGAGTTTAATGGTCAGTGGCATTTTACAGTCACAGTTTGATTGCCCTTCATTGTGATTGTACACAACTTGCATCGTTTCCTGTTAAAGTAAAACAGTAATGTTAAACTTTGTATATAGAGGCGGAAAAAAAACTGAGCTATAAAGATTACTATATGGTACTGTATGTAGTATGGAATAAAGACACAGCATTTAATTTAGGGTCAAGTTTGGAAGTATCCAGTCCATAAAAGGTACTAACATATGAAGACAGACAATGACATTCACTCTCACATTCCTGCCTATGGGTAGTTTAGAGTTTCCAGTTCATCTAACCTGCATGCCTTTGGACTATATGAGAGGAAACTGGAGCATCTGGAAGAAACCCAGGCAGACATGGGGAAAACCTGCAAAGTCCACTACAGACACAGCTGGATGGCACATTTGGATCCGGGATCCTCTAGCCTTGTGGCAACAGTGCTAACCACAAAGCCTTCTGCTGCCCAGGTTGGAATTACAACCAGGCTGTGGTTATGTTAAGATTAGGCACGGGGCAGTTATGGTTAAGGTTAGCCTCCGGGGAAATGATGCAATACAATGCCCTCACAAGTATAGTTGTACAGGTTTTCGTGAGTGCGGCCGTTAGAATGAGTTAGTGCCTGCAGCCATTAACAAACTTTATGACGTAGAAATGATGCGTCATTGTGTGCATGCATACATTTGCCCACGTAAAGGGGAGGAGATTAATTTGCAAATGGATTTCCTCGTTCTGCGTCATTATGGAGGCGCAGCACTTCACTTTCACAGCCCACTGATCTTTATAGACGTGAATTCGGCTCATTACTGCCAGCAGCCTGGCATCACTCCGTCACTGTATGCTGCAGGGAATGCTGGGGATCAGCAGCATCTTGTTTCACACACATCCTAAATCGCTTCACAGCAGCAGACAGTGGTAGTAAAGAAGACAGAAGACAAAAGTTACAAGGTTGTGGATGAGTCTTAAGAGTCTTTTTCTTGCTGCCACGTTATCTTATTTGTTATTTTTGCCAAGTGCAGTTACAGGACGTCATTGTCAGATGATTTGTTACAGCAAATATGCGGCAGTGCCAGCTGCTTTCTCTCATACCTGCAAACTGGATGAATACGTAGAAACTGATGAATGAATCGCTACTGATTTATGTTTGTTTTGTGTTTTTTTTTTTATCAAAAAGATACATTTGATAAAATGTCCATGCTCTGACAAAGGCCTTTCTGTAAACTTAGATGATAAATCTAGTGCAAAGTGAACAAATGTTTGGATCTTTTTGCTGTTTTTTTGTTTGTTTGTTGTTGTTTTTTTGCAATTTGAGGTAGTTTGTGGAAGTTTTAAAAAATCATCTTAACAAATAACAAAACACATGATGTTCTTAATGTACTTACTTTGGAACCTGATGAAAAATGACTGCAAAATACTTTTTGTTGGGAGTTATTTTTAATAGTGGAAAAACATCCAGACAGACGCTCTTACTCATACTTACAGTCGACATGACTCATAAAGACAACATGCTTTGAATTCTTGAAAAAAGACTTAAGAAAACACTAACATGCTGCCATGGTTTAAAAACCATGATCTCCGAAGTTCCTCCATGAGCCCTTATTTCCTGCCTCTCGAAATATTTCCCATTCTTCCACAGCACAGTATTAAAGTGAGACAGACATATATATTTTTTAAACTACTTCTATGTATAATACATATAAGGGGTCAGCACAAAAACACTGCCGCAGCAGCCCCACCACGGTACGCATTCAAAATGAGGGGATGACCTCATTCTATCCAATGACATCATCCCAACCTGTGTGCAACAATGACATCATCCTCT